TGAACTCTATGAATAGACAAAAAGTAAGCATATTATCAGTTAGCTTTCTTTTGAGAATTATTAAAGCTAGGGAAGAATATAAAACTTAGCTTTTCACTGTAGTGTTTCAGGTAAATGCATTTGAATGCTTATTTAAAAAAGTGTTAGACATATTTTGGTTATTGTGATTTGTGCCTGTAACATTGTTAACTTTGATTGTACTTTTAGTTGAGAGTCACATTTATCAGTTTTTTATGTTTTTAATAGATTATCTGTCATGGTGCTAGTGACTAGATATATTAATGAACCCCAGTATGTTTCAAGTATATTAATATTTTTCTCTAACAAAACAAGGCTAACACTACCACTGTCTAATCTAAAACTGATGAAGCTTTTTTGAATGTGAGACAGGCAACTTAATTAGCATTTAATTAGCATTGGCAGATGTTACTGCTAAGCCACTCTCAGTTATCTTTGAAAGGTCATAGAGAACAGGAGAGGTGCCTGAGGACCGGAAGAAAGTCAGTATCACTCCAGTGTCTTCAGAAAGTGCAAGAAGGAAGACCCAGGAAACTATAGGCCGGTCAGGATCCCCTTCATCCCTGGAAAGGTGATGAAACAGCTCCTCCTGGATGTCATCTCTGAACATGTGGAGGAAAAGAAGGTTATCAAGAGTCAACATGGATTCACCAAGGGGAAGTCATGCTTACCCAATATGATAGCCTTCTATGATAGCATGACTGGCAGGGTAGATGAGAGGAGAGCAGTGGGTGCTGTCTGTGTTGACTTCAGCAAGACTTTTGACACTGTGTCCCATAAGAGTCTCATAGGTGAGGTCAAAAAGTATGGGTTAGATGAGTGGGCAGTGAGGTGGCTTGAGAACTGGATGCATGGCAGAACTCAGAGGACTGTGATCAGTGGCATGGCATCTAGTTCGAGGCCTGCATCTAGCAGTGTTCCGCAGGAGTCAGTACTGGGCCCAGTCTTCTTCAATTTATTCATCAGTGAATGATGAATTCACCTGGATGAAGGGACAGACCACACCCTCAGCAGGTTTGGTGATGATATAAAACTGGAAGGAGTGGCTGATAAGAAAACCTGCAAAGTTTTGCGGAGGGACCTGGACAGGCTGGAGAGATGGGCAGAAGAGGTATCTAGTGAAGTTCATCAAAGGCAACTGCAGGGTCCTGCACCTGGGGAGGAATAACCCTATGCACCAGTACAGATTAGGGATTGAGCTGCTGGAAAGCAGCTCTGTGTAGAAGGAACTGGGGTCCTGGTGGACAGCAGGCTGTCCATGAGCCAGCCGTGTGGCCTTGGAGCCAAGATGGCCAAAGCACCTGGGGAGGAATAACCCTATGCACCAGTACAGATTAGGGATTGAGCTGCTGGAAAGCAGCTCTGTGTAGAAGGAACTGGGGTCCTGGTGGACAGCAGGCTGTCCATGAGCCAGCCGTGTGGCCTTGGAGCCAAGATGGCCAAAGGTGTCCTGAGGTGCATTAGGAAGAGCATGGCCAGCAGGTTGTGGGAGAGGTGATCGTGCCCTACGCAGCCCTGGTGAGGCCACATCTGGAGTACTGTGTCCAGTACAAGAGAGTCATGGAGCTCCTGGAGTAGTGGGTCCAGCTGTGGTCTATGAAGATGATGAGGGGACTGGGGAATCTCTTTTTTGAGGAAAGACTGAGAGAGTTGGGCCTCATCAGCCTGGAGAAGAGATGACTCAGAGGGGATCCTATCAATGCATACAAATCTTAAGGGTGGGTGTCAAGAGGATAGAGCCAGACACTTTTCATTGGTGCCCAGTGACAGAAGAAGGGAGAATGGGCACAGATGGAAACATGGGAAGTTCCATCTGAGTATGAAGAAAAAATTCTTTCCTGTGAGGGTGGCTGAGCACTGGAACAGGCTGCCCAGAGAGGTTGTGGAGTTTCCTTCTCTGGAGATACTCAAAATCTGCCTGGACACAATCCTGTGCAACCTGCTCTAGGTGGACCTGCTTTAGCAGAGGGCTTGGACTAGGTGATCTCCAGAAGTCCTTTCCAACCCCAATCATTCTGTGATTCTATGATTTACATACAGTATGCAAAACATGTAAATGTTTAGCTCTAAAAAACTTTTATTGGTCGAATATTAGGAGGTTTAAGTTAACACTGTAAGTAAGTAAAACAGTAAGAGACAGAGAATCATGACATTGCAGAGCTGAAGTTACTCCTGCAGTATTAACTTAGCCAGATTGCAGATTGCACTTTGAAAATATGGTGAGATATAGCTCTAAATTTTTTGGGGTTTTTATCCATTCCACAGGACATAGAGAATGTACAACTTTCGTCAATTAACATTTGGATAGAAATCACAATTCTGGAATCCCTCAACTTTCTTCCTCTTGATTTATCATCTTCAATGTTAGGTGTTTGTTTTCTACGTCATAGTTACTACGCATCAAATAATGCAAACACAAGTGATTTTATGGCTATTTGTATATGTAGTGAAGTCAATAAGTAAAATTGCAATGAGTTTAGAGAGAAAGGGATCAGGAACTTGCTTTAACTGTTAACAAGCTGCACTGATCACAGTCATTCCCTCCTCTTTCATAAGTATACTGTAAGATATAGTGTGGCTCTGTTATTTTCAGGATTGTTTTTCTCAGTTATCATGGGTTAAAATTCCCCCTAGTGTTGGAAGTTAAAAATCTCAGGACTGCATTCCATTTTTTCTTTTGCACAGGTTTCCCATGACTTTAGTATATTGTTCTGAATGGTTGGAGATAGAACAGCAGACTCATTCCCTAGTTTATTTAAACTCTTGTTTTGACTGTCTGCTTCTGCTCTACATGTTTAGTGTCCTGCATCCTGAGTTTCTATAGTATTATTGTTTGCTATTTTATTTAGTGATACCTCTTTTGTTTCAGGAAAGTGAAGCTTAAAGTTTGTGTTTTACAGGCCTTTGTGGCATTTGCCATTTGGAGATATCTGCAATGCTAAGATGATGTTCATTTGTACCTGTTTGGTTCTTTTGCCTGACAAAGAAAGTAATGAAGAGAAATCTGTATAGAAAAACATTTATGAGAGAGGAAATTATCATAATACAAAACTATATAGCTTGGGACCTTACGTGAAAGTAATTTGACATGCTTTTAAGAAAAGGTGACAAAAAGTTATGTCTCTTAATCCCTATGTTGGGGGATCAAGTGACCAATCATGATACTTTAAAAGATTTTCTTAATTCAAAATTAAGCCCATTACAAGTAAATACATTCATTGGAAGTACTCTGTAACTTAGGTCTATCTTGCCAGCTGGAGACATTGACAACTCCTTTAGCAATACTTTGGGGTTTAAAATGCTAGAAAAATATTATGATTAAAGACATAAGATTAACTTGTGCAAAAAGGGGGATGTCCTGGGAGAAAATATGAGGATATATGTAATTTTCAACTTGGAAAATTGTGGAAGACAATTTAGTTATTTTCACAAGAGCCATAATTAGTATTTTAAAGATCTGTATAAAGACCCACTTGCAAAACAGATTGGTAAAACTATAGGGTATGTACCAGAAATCAGGTCTTGTACAGTAATTAAGCATAAAAAAATTCCGTAAGAAATTCTTGAAAATAACCTATACTGTAACAGTAGTATTTGGTTGTAGAGCTAAATTCTACTGAACAAGAACAATTTATCTCCTTACTATAAGACTAAAAAAATCTGTAAAGAGTATGTAGTTTTTTTCTTCAGTTTAAATATTTTTTTCAATTTTGTATTTTTTTTTTTAAAGGAAGCTGCACCCACAGAATCTCTGCTTAACTGGCAAGACTACGAGGGACGAACTCCCCTTCATTTTGCTGTTGCGGATGGGAATGTAGCCGTGGTTGATGTCCTGACCTCCTACGAAGGCTGCAATGTGACATCTTATGACAACTTGTTTCGAACTCCCCTTCACTGGGCAGCCTTACTTGGTAAACTGGACAATGCTGAAGTCATTTAATTATTAATTGACTGTAGTGTTTAATCTTCATCTCCGATTTGTATTTAATTCCAGCCTGGCATTATGCTAACTAAGAGAATAGTAGTTTCTGCTCAGCCAGGATTAGAAGTTTGTGTGTAGGCTGTTTATTTTAGCTTCAGATTCTCCAAAGCACTGTAAAATGCATTACTTAACAGGCTGTATATGCTCATGATTTAAGAACAATTAGAGCATATTGAGATGTACTTGCATATGTAGCTTTGATCATAGGTTAAAAAACCCAGTGGTGCTCTGGAACAGTGGTGTCCAAAGTGGGGTGTGCACAGCCCAGCATGAATGCAGGACAATGTATTGGAGTGCATGAAGAAAATATCAGAACTTCTGTTTATTTTTTACCTGAAAAAGTAAGAGAACTTTGCTAATATTTCATATATGGATTTATGCTGGTACCCTCATTGGGTCCATATGTAAGATGGACACATAGGCTTTGTGCCTGAGAGAGATGAGTTGCTCCACAGCACATGGTGGTTGCAAGTGGCACCATCAGCTGTGTTCACTTTCATCCTGTTGTGATGTATTGCACTTTATGTGTGCCTGGTTAAGTGGATTTATGATTATATTATCTAGTTTTTACTAAACTCCCCCTTACAAGATAAGCAAGGGTCTTAAAAAGATTCCCACTAAGAAACTGAAGATGATCTGATAATGCCAGCACAAGTGAACAACAGAAAAATCACATAGCTGACACTTCTAGTACAAGTTCTTCATCAGACATGTTATGACAATCTAATCAGATCTGACAACAACTTTTATTCAGGAAAAGTTTTTCTCTGTTCAGATTGTTACCCTGAGAATCAGATGCTCTTGTAAATTCTAACGTTGCATATATGAATTTTGCACGGTTTGGATTTACAGGTTACAAAACTGGATCTTTGCAAAACAAGTTAAAACCTGATTAATTATAAATAGTCCAAATGCAAGGAAACAACTCATAAAATGACAGCTACAAAAAGAAGATGATTCAGAAAATTGGCCTCCTATTTTCCATTCTCCTATGCAGCACCACATGCTGGATGAAAGAATCTTTAGTTTCTCTCCCCTTTTAACAGGCTTCATCCCAACGACCCTTTGGGACACTGCAGACAATGAATGCCAATAAAAGAGTCAGATCCCTCATTGGAGCGAGTTACTGCAACTCCAATGACAATACACATGTAGTTTGATTATGTCTATTAAACAACATTTAAAAAAAAGAAGGATGTTCTCAAATTTGCATTTGCATTTAAGTAGGGATATTGAATTTTTACAGAGAAATTGTGAAGCATTTTATGTGTCATAGGATCAGTCTCCCAAAGAAATAAATAGCCATTATCACTTGGTTCTGTCCAAGAAGCAAAATTTATTGTGTTTTGAAATTGATTGTATTTGAGAGAAGTTTTGTCTGTTGGAAAAAAATGGATTGTCTAATCAATGTGGAATAAAGGGGGAAGATGTGCCAAGACCTCCAGAGTCCTTTGTGAACTTGATGAGGTCTCTAGGTGGCCTATGCCCTTGGGGAACTTCTGATTGGTAAATCATTATTAATTTTTAGGGCTCTGTTTTGAAGTTGGATACTGGATGCTGTATGTAGCTCTCAAAGAGCCTAAAATGTTGCTATATGGGTTAACAGTAGGAGGTTTGAAGTAGTGCATGGATATAGCCACAAATTTTCTGTAGAGGTGATGGATTGCATGTGACTGCATCTTGGGGCATTGTTGCTCCTGTTACCTTTCATTCGATGTAGATAAAAGTCTCAGCCAAGTTGCATCTTTTCTAAATAAAAGTACTACAGAAACGACAGTTCTTGACCTCGAGAAATGAGTTTTAATGTTTACATTAATGTCCAAGTGAGATCCCTCTTTGCACTAATTTATTTACTGTTGCACCCAGTACAATTTTTTTTCAGCTCCCTTAAGCCTTTTCTCATAGATAATTTAGACAGACCTCTTGTCCTGATTACAGAGTTCAGTTCCCTTTTTCTAGTTGTCTGTCCTAAAAGTTTAGGCACTGTCTTCCCATGCTCAATACTCCTATGGTTTTCCTGCTAGGATTGCACTCCAAACAAGCTTTTCACAGTGAACCTCAGTTTACTTCATATAGTCTTGAGGTGGGAAGAGTAGCAGCATTACATCTCTTCTTTTTAGTGTTTTTCTGGTAGGAAGGGACAGGATAATGTGATGTTCTGCACCCAGGCTTGTCTTAATGGCTAAAGTGAAAGCTCTAGAAAGAAAAAAGATCTCCACATGACTCTTCATCCTTTGTGATCCAAGATGACCATTTTCTCTTGTTTTTGATGCTTCTATACATATGAAGTCTCAAAGTGCCATTTCACAAAAGAAGGCTTGCCTAGTCCTCCATCTCTTAGGTTTTTAAAAACTACAAACCACAACTGTTACACAGCTTCATTCTGTAATTGTCTACTGCTACTAGGAAGGCTTACCTAGCTTTTTTTCAAATATTCTAAAATAATTCAAGTCAGCTCTGCAAAAGTAACAAGGTGCAAAATTGATTGGTTTTCTGACATGCAAGATACTGGGAGCTCATACCTTTAAAATCAGCGTGGTTTTATGTTATTGTTTTCTTTATATCTCAGATATATATATCTTTTAAAATACCAAACCATTAAGATATCCTGTGAGCTGCATATGCCTCTAAAAGCAAGCATATGAGTGAGTCAGTTGACTTCAGTGGCAATACACTGTACTGTGTGTTTGTTTTCCTGTCTGTGAAGTGGATATGAATTTTACCCATCCCCCCAAAAATGCTGTGATTTTAATCTAAAAATATTCTAATCTGTTTTGATGGGAGGAGTTGTATGTGAGCCTGTTGTTTGTGGCAGCTGGTAATAGCCTAGCCTCCGGATTCTGATACACATTTTCAGTTGAAATTTTGGTTAAATAAAACATAAGTAAAGAATTTACACTTGATTTCTGTAAAACAGTGTGACATACCATGAAATTGTCAATGTTAGTTTCACCTGTCTTTTAATGTAGATGGACAAATGCTCATCATCATCAGTCTGTGCTCACTTCACTGTTTCTGACTGACCTGTCGCTCAAATGCAGTGTCTCAACTGAATTATCATAAGCTTTTTCTGGAAATGTTTGACTCATTTCTCCTGCTGATTTCTTTCTTTTTCAGAAAAGCTCTAGTGATTTCTTTTAAGAGAAATAGAAAATCTTTCTGCATGTTCCTATTTAGAGGCCATTCTGATTTACAGATGCCCCTCAAAAATGAGAATGCAGAGCACTGGAGCACTATTGGGAATAAAGTGCATGCCAGGTTTTAATAGCTCAAATATCAAGTCTCAGTTTCTCTCTTGTGTTTAGACTATAATGGCTATGACATAAACTTACTATTACTTGTTGAAGTCTTCCATTTTGTTTGGTTTGATTTTTAAATATGGAAGTGTGTAACTTTAGGATTTGATACATATCTGTATTTATTATATTATTTTTCTCAGGTCATGCACAGATTGTCCATCTTTTATTAGAAAGAAATAAGTTTGGAACTATCCCATCTGATAGTCAAGGTGCAACACCCCTACATTATGCAGCACAGAGCAACTTTGCTGTAAGTAGCACATAAATATATTTTGCTGGAATATTCATAGTGTAACAAAGTGTTTGAGTTATTTTTGAAATAATATGAACAGTGTTTTGGCATGAGTTTAATTCAGAGTTTTCCTATGCTATGTGATTAATTTCCAACTCTTAAATAGATTTTATAAAACTAACTTGCTGTGCAAAGAAAGGACCTTTGATCTATTTGTTTGCACCAGAACACACAAGAGTCGTTCGGGCACTTCAATAGAAAGCAGAATGGCACCTACTATTTTACAGTGCTCTCACTTTTTAAGGCTCATTATAGCAAAGTCTAAGTGGTTATAAGGTGTTTAGAGTAAGGTGACCTGTATGAGTATTTGCACAGCTGCTGCAGTACCAGTCAAACCAGTCTTTGCATTCAAGATGATGATGAACTTAGGAATATTTGGTATTATGAATGACCCATTGTCTCTGGAAGCATGGCTAAAGAGTTAGCTACCTTTTGTCATAATTTTTCATGAACACTGTATTTTTAAATTATTTTTTAAATTCAGCAGCAAAGAAAATTGGTTTCTCAGACAGCCTAATACCTTGGTATCATAAGTAGTTTTTTTCCAGAGCAAGATCAGATACAGTAGAACCGAGTATAAAACTCAGCAGTTTAATGATTGTTGGTCATAGATGTTACAGAAGTAATTCTCAAGCCCTGAAACTTAGGAAAGCTTTTCTCGTGCTGCTCTGTCTCTCACAGTTGAATTATGCTATGTGTAGTAAGCTGAGAGCTCCCATCCAAGTTTTCTTCAGCTGTGTTATTCATAACCTCCCTTTACAAAAAGGGTTATTTAGTGCTTAATTTATGTAGTTATGTAGTCCATATTGCAATGTTTTATCAACAGGGATACTAATTTTGGTCTTTCTTGCATACCTATATGTTAATTTTCATAAATCAAGGAAGATTTTAATGGCCCTTGAGAACAATCCAAGTTAACAAATCCAGAAGCACTATTGAAAGAGGGAACCAGCCAATGTCTATTAATACCACACCTGTCACTCGTGTTTCCTTGTGAGAGTGGGTTTTGGGGTTTTGGTGGAGTATTTTTGGAGGTAGTCTTAGTAAGACCATCCAGACATTTTTTAAATTTAGACTTTGGTTGAAGCACATATCTGTGTTTAATTTTCATATTTTTGAGGGAATACTTTGTTTATGCTGATTGTTATGGACTATGTACAATTTGGGTCGAACACACAACTGAAATGTTTGTGTTGTGAAAGCCTTTTTTTATAGCTGGAGTTAGACTCATAGAAGAGAGAGAATGTTTTTATTTATTATTTAATTATTATCTCTGCATTCTTTTACCTTCTTTTTTTTTCCCTTTTTTATATTGATACATTCCTAAAAAATGATTTTTCATACTGACTTGCTTTCTCTGGGCTTGAGTCAGTTGAATGAAACATCTTCATTATGTTGCAGCCTTTTGATCCCATCAGCCAGCCAAACTATGATATCATTTAGGTTTTTATGGGGAAATAGAGTAGGTGGTAGAATCAGACATTCTTTTGTAATCTTGTGTACTTGCAATAAATGTACTGTTCCTGTCTTACATGAAGAATCAAACAGGAGAGTTTCATTGAGATCTGAAAGCCTCTTTTAGCTGGTGATGTATCCAAGAGCCCCTGCCTAAATTATGTCTGGAGCCTCTCTGTTTTTACCAGTCCAGTTGTTTCTGAGCACCACTATTTGCTCTTTCTCTCAATTATGTACATATCATTGAACAATTCCCGTCACTGCATTCCAAATACATAGTCAGACAGCTGAGTGGAGACACATCCATGTTTGTTCTGACAGTAGCATCTCTATATTTATGGTTTGAGAGCCACATTGTTGCTCTATTCAGTATGCCCAAGTCTGGATAGGTGTGATATGTTTAAATGTGTTTTAAAATGTGATGTTTCTTTGTCCCTAACAAGAAGAAAGTTTGTTCTTTTGTGTTTATTGTAAATATTTGCATGGCTTTCAGTTTTATTTACTTTGCTAGATGGTTCTTTGCTCTGTTATTCTATGAGCTACTTAGTGTAATATGACATTTTTGGTTTCTTTAAAGGCTGAGAAGACCTAGCCAGCATTTAATATATGTGAAGAATTTGTTCCCTAAGACTAACTTATCCCCACTCACTATAGAGAGGAAAAATTCTAGGAGAGAAGTTACCTAATTCAACCACCCAGATATGTTGCCTGAAATTCAGATGGCTTAGGCGTCCCAGAGAAGGTCCAAATAAACATCTCTTTATAAATATTTGCATTTCATGTGTGAAGACAGATGCTCTATTCATATTGATTTTAGTATGCAGAATGCATTTTTCTGCATTTATTTGTCTATCTTATCTTTTTCTGAAATTTTCCAGCGGTATCTAAAATGATGTGCTTTGCTTTCACATACTCATATAGATTGATCTAGTAAATGAAATGTGGATTTCCCTGTCTTATGTTTAGATAGTAAAAATAATATTTAGTACTTTTCAGAGGGTTTTTTTTGAAAGCACAAAATGAAATGATCTAGGTTTACTGTTACTTTTCAGCTTTGTTGGTTTTTATGTTGTTTTCTCCACTTTTTAAAATAGTGTTAAGATATGTGTGATCTTTCATAACAAAATGCATTGAATTAAACTGATTGATACTTCTGTCCTCTGATTTCTTGATCATCCTGTTGTAATTTAACTCCATTTTGTTTTCAAGTTGTGACAACTTCATTTTGAAAAATTACACTTATGACACTATGGGATTATCTTCCACTTTTTCCTGTTACAACTAGGAAAGAAAGAGTGATTGAAGTAAATGCTGCTTTGCTAAATCTTAATGGAAAAATACAATTACTCATTTGTGGTTTTGAGAATGCATGCCTTAGTACTGAAGTGCAGCCCTCATAGTGCCTTTTGCTTTGCAGGATTTCAAGCAGTGCAGAGGGTGCCTAGTGCTGGGCTAGTGAGAAGCTGTTTGTGTCTGAGGTGTAGTGGTGGTCAGTGTGAGTACACAGAGCTAGAAACACATTCTGGTTTCTGTGGAAGGCTTAATGCTTCCATTTCTCATTGTTTCTGGCTGGACCTTTGTACAATAAACTGATAATTCAGACCTAAATTCATAAAGCTGTTAGGATCTTAGATTCACATTAACATAGATAAATGAGAAACTTTCTGTTTCATTAGAGGGATGAAATAATACATCATAGTGAAAAAAAAAATCCAAATTAATTAATACACCTTAGTCATTTAAACAGCTTTGTGATTATAAGCATTTGATTCCTTATAGCCAATAAATTCTCATCTTACCCAGAGCAGTGATAGAACAATTTTGGGATCAACAGGAGAAAAGATAAAATAGTGTTAATACTAAAAATAAATCTAAAATAAAAGAATGAAAGCTGAGGTTTTTTTCATTTTTATTGGCTAGCCTATAGTGACTCTTAAGAGATGTTTTCCAGCTGCTAAATACACAGCCTTTTAAGGAATTGAATAGAAAAGGGAGAGTCTTCCCCTTATTCTTTTTGTAGTAGTTGTGGTTTTCTCTCCCATCCTTTCCTGTGTGACTTATGAAAAATCTAGCAGCAGGTTAAAAAAGTGGACTTGTTTGCTGAGAGCCTTACACAAACACAGCATTTGAAGAAAGAATTCTTTTTGCTTTGATATAAATAGAGATTTTAGTGTAACAGTTACAGTGGAAAGACTGGACTCAGGTGTAAAGATTTTCTTAATATTTTCTGATTTATAATATTTCAGTAATCAGTAACCTGTTAATATTATTAAATATTAGGAAATATGTCTATGTTACCCTAGAAGTACTTTTTCTTTTTGAATAGTCAAATTATTAGAGTTCAACAAACTAAAGTATTTGCATGTACGGTTGAATTTATAATTGGAGAAAAAAATATGTTGGGAGAATACTTTAAAGGAACATTATTTTCATGGAAAGTTCAGGTTGGGCATTAGGAGGAATTTCTTCACAGACAGGATCGTTAAATATTGGAATTGACTGTCCAGGGAGGTGGTGGAGTTACCATCCCCAGTGGTTCTTAAGAATGGCCACTTAGTGCCATGGTCTAGTTGACATGGTGGTGTTTGGTCACAGGTTGGACTAGATGATCCTGTGATTTTATCATGATAACAGTACAATAATGTTTCGACAATCTGATAATATTTTTCCTATTGCCTTCTTCACAGTGACTACAGTGCCTTTTACTTCCTTATGATGAGCACATGATTGATGCTAAAAAGAAGAAAGTGTGAAATAAATGACAGCGTTAAACTCATAGTTAATGATGCACTGTGTTTCATTGGTTAGGAAAAAGGCATAGCAGAAAATCATAGAATCATAAAATCATCAAGGTTGGAGGAAACCTCTAAGATCATCGAGTCCAACCATTAACCTGCCACTCTGCTGTAACCCCTAAACCCTAAACCGTCTGCTGCAGATTCAGATCCAGATGCCTCTTAAACACTTCCAGGGATGGTGACTCTACCACCTCCCTGGGTGTTATATTCCAGTGCCTGAACACCCTAACAGGGAAAAACTTTTTCCTCTCACTGTGGGCACGGCAGAAGAGACCATCCCTCACCTCTGTACAGCCCCCTTTCAGGTAGTTGTAGAGTAGATAGAGTGTAGGTAGAGTAGATGCAGTTGTAGCATAAATACAGTGCTCCTGTTGAGCTATTAGCCTTTATAAACATAAAAAGGAATAATGAAGCTTTGATTTGATTCATAAATAGCCAAATGAGGCACAATAGTTTCTTGTTGCAGATTGCTTTTAATGTTAATTTCAATAGTATGTCTTTTCAGGAAACAGTTGAAGTATTTTTGAAACATCCTTCTGTAAAAGATGACTCAGATCTTGAGGGAAGAACATCCTTCATGTGGGCAGCTGGCAAAGGCAGTGATGACGTCATTAGGACGATGCTGACTTTAAAATTGGATATTGATATCAATATGACGGACAAATACGCTGGCACAGGTAAGATCCTTTACAGTAAAGAGCCACTGGATGTTTCCAGTCAGTGTGACTTTTTAAATGAAAACATTGTTAGAAGCTATATTAATCTTTTCCTGGATGTGTACTTTGATCCTGAAAATTTTTCTGCATTACTTTCATTATGTGTGCGAGTCAATTCTTTGCCCTATTGTGGGAAAGACACAAATCTTTTCTCTGCAGATTGGGCCAGGTGATATCAAAAATAACAAGAAGAAATGTACTGCTATGCTGCTATTTGGTTAGATCTGGAATCCTGGGAAAAGAAGAGCTGTTCTGTATTTTGAAGTATAAAATGAAATATAATTGTGTAAAAGGTCCTAAAATGCCTGTTAAAAAAATGCATTTGTCGGGAAATAAATACTTTGAAACAATATAGAGGAAACCAAGCAGTGAAGTGGCTAAGTTATCATCGTGCAAATTGTTAGTTCCATAGTTATTTTTAAAGATAGCGTAATAAAGATTAGAGCTATTGCACTTCCTTTGTCCAAACAAGAGGTCAAACTTGATAGCCTCAAGTTTATCATCCTGTTATCTGCCCAAAGCAAAAGATAGTTATGCAACACAGTGTTTCAGGATTCAAGCATGCAAGTCTTGAAATTCAAAATTTCTTATAGCATCTATGGATTTGTATAAACAATTTTATTCATTAAAGGAGATCCTATAATTAAAAAAATAATAAGAATTTGTGGTAGAAATGCTCAACCTATGTAGTGCTTTCAACAAAAACAGAATAACAGTTCAGACAGAGAGAGGTTTTGAAGTGTTTATGTGTTCAACAGTGTTGGAAATAGAGGTAAAAACAGTCAAGTTGTATAGTATACTGATGGCATCTGAATAAAAAAAGAGGAAAATGTGGATATATTTGGCATAAATTGGAGGGGGTTAGAAATCAGGGGGCTTCAGGAGAAAGCTGTATGGGAGGAGGTCATGGACTACCCAGTGCCCCACACAGCCAGGTCACAAAGTTAGAAGTGAAGTGCAAAAATGTATACTTATGTATAATAAGTAGTAAAATGATTGCCAAGCTGATAGACCACACACTTGTGAATAATACATAATCTCCTGAAAACTACGTCATTTTAAACAAACAGGAATGTATATTGCAGTGTTTGATTATATACATTTTGATGTATTTGTTTTAAAGCATGCTCAAGCATTACCTTTTGGCTGCACACACATGCAACCTAGCCTTAGTTGCATGCTTAGTTTAGGGAACTTGCAGTGTAAATTTATCCCAACCAGGAAACAAAGATACGAAATAGTGCAACAAATAAAACCTCTGTCTTCATGTTTGATGACTTTGCAAACTGCAAACTCTACAATTTCACTTGTTTCATCTTTTATCAGTCTCACCTACATTTGCTACTTCCTAACAGTTCCCTGTTAAATACCTTACAGTATTTGTTTCAGACCTTAAGGTGCAGTTATGTTGTAGTTACTGGGCAAACCTCATTACAAAGGGTTCTCTTCTTTGCAAACAGGAATCACATACTGTGTTTCTGAAATTACTCAGGTGTAGATTTCATGCTTGAGTAATTCAGGTGCTGGGGTTTATTATCTGTCAGTCTTAAACCTTTTGTAGCAGTGATATGCAATCACCTTTTAGTCTTGACTTTGATGTAGGACTTTTAATCTAAGGAAATGAATGGATTTTCCGTTTACTTAAAAGTGCTGTTTGGAGCACAGGAACAGTCTTAAAGTGGAAACTGTGCTGTTTGTTGCTTGCTGTTGAGCAGTCTGAACTATACTGTTGTATGAGCAAGTGCAGTAGCATTAGACTTTATTACAGCAGGATTGTAAACTTAAAAGGAAGCCCACCAGTAAATCACTCTGATTTCAGACTTGGGTTTTTTTTTCCAAAGGTTCTCAATCATTCCCAAGTTTTGGTGAGGGAAAGGTAGTGTTGGATGTGGACGCTAAACTATGAACTAATAGAAGATAGCGCACATGCCGCGGTGCCCAGGATACAGTTGCTGAGGAGAGTTCAAGGTTGTGTTTTTCTGACTTTTGTGTGCCGACTCAGTTAAGCTCAGTTATAATGTTGCATTAACGCAGCCTTTTGCATTTACTTAAAAAGAGCAGGCTCTCCATTCAGCTTTGCTAGAACATGGAGACTCTCTGTATTGTGTAGGAGAATGACACCAAGGGAAAGGAATTTCCCTCCTCTCAGAGATCAGCGCTGCAGGAGCATTACAGGGGCAGCTTTATGGCTCTGCCGTCACTGTGCACAATGGAGAGGGCTCTGTCTGTCGGCTGAACAAAGGGCTTATTGTGCCCAGCTGGCTGAAGAATCTCTTCAGTCACCGTGACTCCATCACAGAAAATTTGGCTTACAAGAAAATATTGAGCACAAAGTGCGAAACAAGATGCCTGCGTCAGAATGAGTGATAGGGGGGAAGAACCGGCCAAGCTGACACAGCAGCTCTTTTTCTATTGTATTGTTACCCGCACCCCATGTGTCATCCGATGGAGTGGTTTACTGCCTTTGGTTTCATAAGAAGTTCAGGACAAAAACCAGAGCCTAGAGTTTACTGTGAGGTCAGACCATGAAAACCAGGCCCATCCGAATGTACGAAGTGGCAGGGATCTCATTCTTGTCAAATTCCTACTGATAGCCACCCACTCGCATGGCTGCTGCACATGCAGCTATTTTTCACAAGCACAGTAAGTGCTGCTGTGCTGCAAGTTAAGCGTCAGTGTTGTCTCCAAGGCATGATTTCAATTACTTAAGGCAGCACTTCCCATACCGTCTCTGTCTGCGACCCCAGGGCCTCATTTGTCTGCATCACAATTCCAGTTACTATTAGTAATTTTCAGACTCTGTGTTTTATGGCAATACACTTCAGCTGGGTTTTGTTCGTGGACAGTATGAACAACCTGTGCATTTTAGTAGTGCCTGTGTAACAGGTTATGCTGGGTTACTGTTCCATAGGCAGTGTGGAGCTGGTACTGGTGGCAAACAGTAGCTGGCAAATACAAAAAGCTCAACTGTTTCGATATTCTGGCTATGGTTCAAGAAGCAGTTCCTTCTCAAGTTGGCCTTCATGGTGTGCATTTCTGTATAATGCCTCTGCTGGATGCTGAGCCTGTCTTGTTTTAATGTTAAAGAAATACAGACATGTAGGTACTATTTACAGCCCCATATTTTCTTGCTTGAGCAGACTCAGTTCTCACAAAGGATCAATATTTCTGAAATTTCATGGGGAAATATGAGTTCACTTTATTAAATGCACATTTATGAATTGCACTGTTTTGTATTTTCCTTCTAAGTTATTTTGATTTTGTCATCTACAAAATATTCTACATTTAAGGCAGTATGAAAGTACCAATTGTCTGATTCAATTGCTGACTATAGGAAACAATCCAAAGCATTTTGAAATCATATTGTAGGTGAAATCGCCAATGTATGTGTTCTCCATTGGTTTGAAGTCTCATTACTGTGCATAGTTCTCTTTTCCTTCCAAAGGAGCCGTGTACTGGTCAGACTGGTATTTCAATATTAGGCAATAGCACTTCCAGTTACAGGACACCACATCTTTACATCTGCAGTCTAGAGTACCTGAAGTAGCATAGTTTTCTTACAACTGAATGTCATAAATTGTAGGGATGAGACAAAATGCAGTATTTGGTCTTTCTTTTTCCTGATGAAAACGAGGAGCTGGAGATACTGTGCAAGATGTGATAGCCTTGCTACAAAATTTTGAGTAAGATTTTTGTCAAGTAGTTCTGGAAAAAAACCACGGGGGGTAGCAGGAACGGAACAGCTGGATATTCATCTGGAGTTAGTTTTAATTCAGACAGCTTTGCTTATTTGAAAGAAAGAAAAAGGTATTTTCAGGAAAACATTGAAGAAATAATTAAAGCTTTCTGTCACCAGTGATGGGCAGTTTCAGAAATGCCATGAAATGGAGGCATAAGTAAGTCACATTATGTTCTCTTAATCAGAAGCTGCTAAACTTCCACAAATCCTCTGTATAAGCCAGTCTTGGTGTTACTGAGCTTAAAATTTCTATTTGTGCAAGTCAGAAATAGGTTGCAGGCTAATAGTTTTTCTGCTTATTGCTAATATGGCAGGAAAATGTTTTTATATAATTGCTTGTTATGATTCTTCAGTTTCTTGTGGTTGTAAAGCACCTTTTCCACCAAGATGGTTGAAATTAATTTTTATTTTGAGTGTTGTAATGGTGAACCTCCAAAGCTCATGATATTGTGGTTTCCTTTTCCTCCTACGTTATTCTTTTAGCATTACATGCTGCTGCCCTTTCTGGCCATGTCAGTACAGTGAAATTGCTGTTGGAGCATAATGCACAGGTGGATGCTCTGGATGTCATGAAGCATACCCCACTTTTCCGAGCCTGTGAGATGGGACACAAAGAAGTGATACAAACACTCATTAAAGGTCAGCTCCTACAACTTTACAGGCATGTTCATGGTTCTGGTGCTGCTTTCTGTGGGACTGGGAAATAAACATATAGCTGAGCATGAGGTGGGGTAGAGAACTGCTGCCCTAAGGCAGGTTTTGTCTGTGAGTACCCTTTGTGGAATAGTGCTGGTAAATGGAAAACATTATCAAAGTGTTGTGCAAAATGACTAGATAGAAGTGTTAAAAATAAAACTTTCAAAATTGGGATTGTTCTTTTCACAGCTCATTTCTGCTCAAGTCTTTGCAGGTACCTTCCAGTCTCTCAAACCAACTCTTTCTGCAGCAAGTCATTGTTTTGCTTTCTTTTCTTTTCTTTTTTTTCACCAGTAAATAAGACCAAATTAAGGTTTCTTCACTTCTGTGCAAAAGCATTTTTAGACTTATTTGAAGACTTTCTGACTATATAACTAAGTTTTTATTTTTTAATGCAGGTAACTACCCAAAGTCCTACATCATTAATATTTTCCTCTGGTTGTTTTTTATAAGCAGTATTTTATTTGCTGACAAAATTAGGATTTCATAATGTACACAGCGTTAGATAATTGTAAAATATCTACAGAAGTATAAAAAGTATGGTCAGAGAACAGTGGTGTCTTAGATGCAAAATTCTGTCATTTTAGCTTCCCAGAAACATCTCCCTCCTACTAGAGATATTATCCCATTTATGGACAGTTAATTATCCAGGCTAACAAGTTGCAAGTTTTCCTTCAACCAGCCTTTCTTACTTTTCAGTCAGAAGTAAGCTTGCTTCCCCCTATAATGTGCTGGATGTATTTTAACCTCCTGTTAAGCTCTTCTTCCCACTCCCTATGCCATTTAGCTTTTGTAGATGCAAGAAGCTTGGCTATCAGAATCTGAGATATGTAATTAAATATTTATGATATAGACAGTCATTGTTGCTGGTTGGTTCAAGTTTTTGTATTTATGGAGTTTTATTTTTGTACAGAATTTTTGCATCTTGCAAAAACACAGAGAAATTAATTATCTACATAAAAGAGTTGATATGCTTGAATTTTAAAAACCAAGCTTTTTTCAAAAGTTATTCTTACACTGTATTTTATCTTGCCTACTTCAGAGATTTATAAAGAGATTTAATCTGAAGTCTGATTTTTAAAAGTTATTTTTTTGTTAAGAAATAAAAGTTTTACTGAAAATTAATAGGCCTGAAACGAATAAAGACTAGGCTTTTCAAGGGCATTTGATAAATCTGGAGATTCTAAAGCATCTGAGAGGATACTCAGAAGCTTGTAAAAAAGTTAGATTCTTGCCCCACACTGAAACTATTTCCATTCCCAATTAATTTGATTTAAGTTTTAGGATTTGAGTAACAAAATTGAAGTTACTTTAAGAAATACCTCCCTGAATTATCAGTTTATCAAATAAGTTCTAGTTGAACATAAACTTAGTCTTTTCTTAGCATTCAAAAGTATTTTCTTTTATGCTCAAAAATGTATTTGTTTTTACAGGAGGAGCAAGAGTAGATTTGGTTGACCAAGATGGCCATTCGCCCCTTCACTGGGCAGCCCTGGGAGGGAATGCTGATGTGTGCCAAATCTTGATAGAAAATAAAATCAACCCTAATGTGCAGGATTATGCGGGTAGAACACCTCTGCAGTGTGCTGCTTATGGAGGTTACATTAACTGCATGGTGGTGCTACTGGAAAACAATGCAGATCCAAATATTCAGGATAAAGAGGTATGTTGTTCTTCACTGAGGTCTATAATTACATTTAGAATAACCATAAATCAAAACAGTTTCCTTTTCTTCAAGGTCATTCTCTTTTCCAGGACATAGAAGTGTCTTTGCTGCTGTTTATCACACAAGCAAATGCATTCTGAAGTCATTTTCCTATGCCTTTGCTTCTGAAGTCTTGAATGAAAAGTAGTATTTTAATATGCACCATGAATTGAAGACTCTTATTTTTCCATCTCACTTTTGGTTTTTCCTTTTCAAAGTGTGGTCGTATGAGGAGTCATATTAATAATCTGAGTTCTTAACTTCTATCATCCCTTATTAACAGCTGACATGGGAATGTGATTTTATGGTCTGTAATGTGTTTCTTCAGCATAGAGGTAGAGCAAGTAAGAAAGTAAGATACTGCAAGTGGCATTGCACAACAACTGCTTCAATTACTTGTCTACATAAGTATCCATATATGTATCACTCTTCCAGGCGGAAAAAAATAAAAGGACACTGATTAGTTTATATGTTCTTTTGTTGATATTATCAGAATTTGAGTTATTTGTGTTGCGTTTCTGTTTTGTGCCATTATTAAAGTAGTACATGAACTTAGGATTCAGAATAATTGTGCAAGCTATAACAGATTCCTTTGTTGTATGACATCATTTCTCAGAAGTTAGTAGAACTTCATCAGTCAAAAGAGCTTCGCCCAATTTGTTAAACTTTTCTGTAGCTATAGATAGGGATAGATGATTCTGGGTAATGGAAAAGTGGTTTTCATTATGAGGTCTACAGAGCATGCTGGGGGATTTTTCCAACCTGCTACCAGCTCTGTATGGCATCATTTTGAGCTCAGCTGAACACATCAGCTCCACCCGCCTCACACAGGGGCACTGCCACATGCTTTTCAGTCCTTGGGGTTCAGTGGGTGGCTTGCTGGCACTGAACTCAGAATGCCTGCATGCTTCTCTGTGGTACCCAGCCTTCTAGGTATTTCCTGCTTTTGAAGTTCAGAAAAGCAAGACACAGACAGGGGACATGGCCTGGAAGTGAAATCAAGAAATGACTGGACACTTAATACCATGGTCTAGTTAACAAGGTGATGATCGGCCAAAGGGTTGGACTCAGTGATCTTTTCCAACCTAAGTGATTCTGTGAAATATCTAGGTTTTGTTGATATTATCAGAATTTGAGTTATTTGTGTTGCGTTTCTGTGATCCCAGTCCCAAGAGTGGTCATACATGAGCTGGCTATATAGAGTGCAGCTACAGAGTTGGATTTCTGCTTCATGTGAGAAAAACTAGACTTCTAGAATGAAGCTTGTTTGAAAGCAGACCTGGAGCCTTTCTTTGTTTCATGGAATCATAGAATTTAGGGGTTAGAATGGACCTTACAGATCATCTAGTCCCAACCCCCCCTACCATGGGCTGTTTGTCTGGGCTGACAAGCTTTCCTCAAACTTAATCTGATTTTGATTCCTGTAGTAATTCTTTCAGTCTTATTTACAGTGTTTTGGAGCAGCCTTGAGTACAGTCTAGACTACAGAGGCTGATGAGAGCTGCTTCAGACCTGGGCAGCATAGCTGCAAAGAGACTAACTCTGGAGCTAGTCTCCTAATGCTGCTTTTCAACTGCTTTTTTTCCAGTGAAAAAGCACTAGTGTTGTAATCTTGTTTTTTAAAAAAAATTGCTTCATTTTTAAGTGTTGTATTCTTCTTATTTTAACAAGGAGGTTTATTTAGAAGAATTAGTTTGTCCTTCATGTCCAGAAAAGCATTGAATTACACTATGATTTATGACTTTTATTGTGGCCTGTGCTTATTTTTGTTCTGTTCTATTGTTTCCAGGGAAGAACTGCCCTGCACTGGCTCTGTAACAATGGCTACCTTGATGCTATAAAGTTGCTGCTTGGTTTTGATGCTTTCCCTAATCACATGGAGAACAGTGAGGAGAGGTATCGCTTGTCTCAATGCGTCCTTTTGTTGTTTACCAAAAGTGCTCCCTACTGATTTAAATGTTAAATGTTCAGATACTGCACGAATCTTAATCTTGTCTCTAAAAGGAATGCTGTGATCTTGGCCTTCAATGTAAGCAGATTTTCAAATGTGAAATTTCTCTTCTTTGAGAAAGACATTGCAACTTCAACTGCTAATACTTTTGAACCTTAAGCTTAGAGATTTCTGCAAGTATTTACTCACTCTAGTCTCGTTTGAAATATTACAGTTCTTTTTCATTTGTACAAAGTTGACAGATATGTATGGACAAAGAGTGAAAAGGCATTGCTGCTGCTGTTGGAGTAGACTGGAATTTTTCTTTTCTATTTGGTAGGAATACAGTGAGAAGAAACAAAATCAGAGAAATGTAATGTTATGTTTTGAAATAGTGATTACAAATTACCTGGTGGTTAACTGTATTCTAAAGGCCTAGTTTAAAAAAAAAATCCTATAATCATAAAGAGACAGCACATTTGCATCTCATTTCTTTGTCTTTCATTGACATATAAATAATAGTTTTTTAGAAGTGATTTGGGTTGTGGAATTCAAATTAGTCACCTGATCATGAAGATAATTACTATTAGCAGGAATTTATAGTGCCTTTTTTTTTAGAAGAGATGACCTCCTCATAATTATAAATAAATTTGTGAACAATATGACATATAAATTTGAATATTTCCACATAATCTGAATAATTTAAGAAGTTTGAAACTACATATTTTAGTGCTGTATTTGAGACTACCATATTCCATACTTATTCCTGTTTTTAATTCCTTTATTCCCCCATAATTTCTCTTTCATTCTCTACTCTAAACCACTCGGATTTGTCTTTGTTTTCTGTTCTTATTTTTTATTGAGAAACACAAATCAAAGTATAACTGGTTCCTAATTAAGTAGTGCCAATGCTCTCGTTAGTAATTTTTGATATAAAATTAAATAAACAGTTGTAATTAAATTACTCCTAATAAGTAAGATTAAAAGCCACTATTTTGCCAGAAAGGAGACTGGTATTATCCTTACTTTGTAGAAATGCACTAATGATGCTCCAAAGTCAGGAAAAGACCTTAGCTGTGGTTTTGCCACAGTCATTCAGGTAGTACCTATTTTTGTTTCCCTCTGGCATTGATAGATGTAGCAATATTCTAAATGTCCACCATTAAGCACTGCATTGCACAGAACAAAACAGATCCCAAATATTTCTAGATGAATCGGTCTTTAAATATAATTCTCCTAAAATATATGTAGTATATACAAATTACACGATTGCATCTTAAAAAGTATCTACACATTTTGTTCTATGGTTAAGAGATTGGAAGTTTGGAAAGTGGAAAAATCAAGCTGAAGGTTGTAAGAGAGAGTAAAGATCATGAATATGGTTCATCTGTCATTAGATAAAATTGTTTTTTACTCAGTATCAATTTCACCAAATAGTATTTTTTTCCCAATACACCTACGGAAAGACGCCTCCCTTCTTTGCTTTCTAAGAGTGTAATATGAGATACCAGTTAAAAATTCAAACATAGTGGTTAAACCTACATTATTGGAAAGATGGAGCTGAGATTACATCTAGGATTTTAAACTTCCCACTTGCTTGTCAGATATGTGACCAGGTGCTAGTCTGGAGGGTGTTAGCTTTGTTGTTCTTTGCAAATTTATTCTGTAATCCACTTTGATGTCCTGAGTGCATCATGTGATGCCAGGCTAGCGGCTGTTTGACCACCTTCCTGCTAAATTATGTATGACAGTTGATGGCTGATGTCTTCTTCACATGCTTTCCTGTGAAACCAGCTTGATTTAAAAGCTATCTGCTTTGGCATAACCAGTGGAAAAGTAAATTTATAACAGGCTTTGAACTGACAGGACAGAGCAGTGTCTGTGGGCAGCCTTGGATGGGTAGTGTCCAGTCATACAAACCCCTATTCAGATTGGATGTGAGTGATTTCTTTGCTTCCAAAGATAGCTTTAATGGAATTAGGGAATCCATGTTAAAAAATACAGGTCTTCATGACTGGGATCTGTAGCAGAATACATTGTCTTGGTTGATACATGGTGGTAGCATAAAGTTTGCTTTAGTATCTTTTGTGTTGTTAAAATATTGAAAATTAGGTATACTTTAAAAATGTGTTTTTCTGAAATTATGTCCCTTCTGGAGTTCACAGTTCTGGGTTATCAAAAATCTGTATCTCTTTAAATGCTATCAGCAACACACCTTGACACATAAATTTTCATGTTATGTCATTGTCTTTATTCCTGAAGACACTTCAGTTCAGATACTGTTAATCCTTCCATCAAATCGTTGCTCTGTGGCAAGTCCAATTGTGCTTTCTGTCTGTTTTTCTTTGCTTACCAGCATTGCGTCCCAGCAAGTTACCATCAAGAAGAGTCCTAATTTTCACAATCACATGCATTGACTCTTGTTATTTGATAGTCTTAAGTTATATGGTCTTGATTATGGTTTGTGACTGATACTTTTCAGTCACTAAATGTCTTTGCCTAACGTTTCAGTGCTGGTGAGGGAGATATGTAAATTTTGCTCCTGTGTCGTCAACAGGAAATTTGGGAATTATTTTGAAAAGGGCTTAGGCATCTTTGACACCATTAAACACCAAAGCAATTTAATATTTCTAACATCTGTGACCATTTCAAAATGGACTTAAGTCTTCCTAGTACTTTAAAAGAAGATACGGTCACTTGGTACTGATCTAATCCTGCTGCTTGGTCAGTCATTCTGTCCTCAGTTGTCGTTATAGAAGATAAGCCAGATTTGACAGTAAATCTCTAGAACTAGAAATAATAAAATCATGTTTTAACTTTTTCTTCAGATCTGTTTCTATACAAAAACCTCAGTAACACCTTCTAAAGGTTGCTTGCCTAAAGCACTTAATTCTGTGGATGGAGCTTCGGGAGATTTTGACCAAACACTTCTGCCCCCCACCCTCCCTCCTGTATTAGGAGACTAAAATAAGCCTTAAACATAGTCACAGTGTGTAGAATGAGTAAGACAGGAAAATAATATTCAAAAAATTACTAAAACAGCCTATTAAAACCAGTATTTAATCTGTCTTCAGACTAGAAGTTGACCTATTATGAAATGAGGATGAAGTAAATGCGTATTATGGTTAGAATTCTGTACCTGTAATAATTGTTGTGGGTTTGTTTTGGTTTTGTTTTTTTAGGTATACTCCACTTGACTATGCCTTGCTTGGTGAGCACCATGAAGTGATTCAGTTCATGTTAGAACATGGGGCTCTGTCTATAGCTGCCATTCAGGATATTGCTGCTTTCAAAATTCAGGCTGTCTACAAAGGGTACAAAGTTAGAAAGGCTTTCCAGGAGAGGAAGAATCTTCTAATGAAACATGAACAGCTGAGAAAAGATGCTGCTGCCAAGTAAGTCTGAGACTTGAAATTTACTCCAGCAAATACACATTTGTCATAAGTTTGTATTTATCAGTATATGATTTTATCTGTTATTCATCATTTATTGTTCCTTTTAGTAAAATTTGTGAAACTGTAGGAAGCATATAACTTCCATATACCTATAGATAGATGGAAATTATTTTCCGTATCATCCCAAATTAAATGACAAAGTTTAGATAATATACAGGAACAAAGCAAAATACCAAAGCCTGAGAAACTAGCATGTTAGCATCCATGAATCTTTGTCTTATATTCTGGATGATTGGAAAGTCTTGGAAAATATTTATTGCTATAAGGTAATGGAAATAATTATTGACCTATCAAGTCTTTGATAACACTTTTGAAAATAAATTAATAAGTAGTTGAAGATAAAGATGCCAACAAAGCAGGAAAGGCCTGGTTTGGTAAGGCTTAATTTAATGTTTCACAAGGAAGTTGTGCTTTTCTAGCAAACTGAACTCCTGGATTTTTTTTGCAACTTCGGTTTTGGCAGTATCATTCTCTGCGCTTACATTTTCTGGTCTTGAATTAGAGAATTCCTATGAATTGGTTATACTGGATTATAGATAACTAGCATATGCAATTCAAATAGTGGTCAAGATGTGTAGGCTCTGACTGTGTTTGATGTGTAGGATCTGACTGAGTTTCTGCTCTATTTAAGAGAGGCAATGGTAGCAAAGTGGTGAAATTCTAAAATTGGAAGGTATGTAAATGATTATCAAAATGCTTTGCTTACTTGGGCTTTATCATTAAGGTTCATAGTATGAAATAAAACAGATTAGTACCTGGTTTCTCTTGAAAAAATCTGATTCTGGAATGAAAAAACAGGACAGTCTGAAAAAATTTCTGCATGATTTTGTAATATTATTTCTGTAAATAGCCATCATACGAAAAAACACACAACATAACTATTGCACCTCCAGGTATTTTTGTTGCATCTGTGTATCATAGACAATTTCAGCCACATTACACTCTGTATCGAATTCAGTAGTTTGAGGTTCTGCATAACTGGCCAGTCTGACCTTCATTGGGTTTGATTGCTACTACTATACTGGACAACTATTGTTATTCCCCAGTAAGAACCAAAGCTAGAAATACCTGATAACTAATCTCTTGCTGGCATCTTTAGATCCTGAAGTTGTAACTTGTAGCTCTCCCACTATTTGCCTTTTCTGCTGAAGTCAGTGGAAGTCAAAACCATGCATGGAGAAACTCCCAAATATCTTAGGTATTTCTTTCTCTGCTTATTGCTGTGTGGTCACAACTGACTTTACCAAATGAGAGAGTTTTATCCTTTGTGATGACAGCCATTTTTAGAAGACTCTATGATACCCCATCTAGAAGATTAAATGGAAAAGAATTGCCTCATGGAAATTTGGGGGTGTTTTTATAATAGTTTTCCTTTGTGAGTTTCTGAAACTTACTTAGCTGTTGTTGATTTGTTTGAAAACAATAGAAACAAAGTCCGTGTACCAAATACCATAAAACCAGAATTACAGTACAATTGGAGTGTACAAGCAAATCAGGTTGTCACATAACAAATTTTATTTAATTGCAGTTTTATGATCTGTAATAAACTGAAGGAGGCATTATGTTGTCATCATTCTGCGTACCCATCTGTGCATTCCACAGCTAATATTGGCCAGGGTGTTACTGCATGCAGAAAACTAATATCCCTACTAGTGTTTAAAAATCTGCTCTCCAGATAAAAGTAGACATTATGTACAAATCCAGAATGATGGTTAACTCCTAGATTGAACACCCCTAACTATTTCAGTGTATTTAAGCTTGCTTTGTAAGACGTTATTTCAGAGAGTTTCGTTAAGATTAATAACTCCTAAGTCTGCATGTTTTTAATTAGTCTGTTCTTTTTCTTTCTTTTTGCCAATTTTTTTCCTAACAAAAATTCAACCAGCATCTCATACCTTTATTATTTTCTGGTACAGTTATGTTCACTGAATTCAAAGCTTCTGAAATATTTCTGTACAAACACATTCTCCCATGTTCTCTCCTATATCAAAGAAATGATAATTTATAAAATGAAGATTGATGCAGGCCAAAACATGCACACTTTTTTGTCACTGAGCAAAAGTAACACCAGGAGAGCAATTTGGGTAAGCAGGGAAGCCATGACAGAGCTCAAATGCAAAAAGGCAGTATACAGCAGGTAGAATCAGGGACAGGGCTGCAAGGGAAGGGCGTAAAAACATTGCGTGGGCATGTACGGATGGTGTCAGAAACAGCAAAACTCAAATGGAGTTGAGGCTTTAAAGGGATGTTACAGGTAACAAGGTGAGTTTCTGCTTCTACATTTATAGTAATACAGTAGGAAAAGGCTGAGCAAGGAATATGTGGGGCTGTTGCTGAATGGTGCATTCAGTGACAACAGGCACAGGTGTGGCAGAAAGTACTCAATGCCTTCTTTGCCTCAGTCCTCCAGAAGGTCTCCCAGGCCTCTTTGTTAATAGAATTGGTTGAAGGAGGAGAACTGCCAGCTGTGAATGAGTCAGGGATGGCTTGAGAAAACTCAGCCCAGACAAGTCCATGGAACCAGATGGGTTGCATCCAAGGGTAAAGAAGGAACTAATTAATGCCCTTAAAAGGTCACTTTCCAACATCTTTGAAAGGTCAAGGAGATCAGGGAAGGTCCCTTATGATTGGAGGAAAGCAAATGTTGCACCCAGCTTCAGAATGGCCAGAAGAACAATCTGGGGAACTGGAGTTTGGTTGGTGTCACTCTGGGAAACTTTTGAGAGGCATAAGTTGAAACCAGACAGATTTTGTCTGGAAGTAAAGGGAAATTCTTTCACCCTTTGGACAGTCAAGCAGTGGTAGCCCAAAGAGGTTGTATGGTCTCCAGCCATAAAAGTGGTCAAGACACAACTGGATAAAAGCCTGAGCCACCCAGTCTGGCCCTTTTTTGAGCAGCATGTTACCCCTCAATATGTGTTACTGTATGATCCTATGATCTTTTGAAAGAGGGAAGTGTTGATGGGATGTATGAGCATCAATAGTCATGAAAGTGTCAATGTATTAGGTGCTCTTGTTCTGTGGGAGTGAAAGTAACTGGTTATTAATAGATAGGATGGAGAACCTGACAGGAGGGAAGCAGTGCTTTGGGAGAGTAGCACAGAAGCAATCTGGAAAAAAAAGGCATTAAAAAACCAATCAGACTACATACAGGTAAAATGGTGGAGTCTTAAAACATTTTTGCAAAGAGGATTTGGGTTTACTTGCTACAAAACCAGGTATTTAGGACAATAATATTTAATAGTTTAAAGCATATTCAGAGAAAACCGATGTCCAGTATACTGGATTTTGAAAGGGCTACAGAACTCATTCCTTACTTGTTCACCTTCCCTTTCAGTTTCTCAGATGAATTACTAAATCCATCCTTTTGTTTTTCATTCTGACCAGTTGGAGGAAGTTGACTGAGAATGTGGATGTGAAAGGGAAATGGCTGAAAGTAACTCATGGTATTTAGGAAGAGAAGAACAGCAACAAAATAAACAGTTCAATTAAACAGCCTTCAGTAGATTTAGGAAAACATTCTAGCACCAAGAGAGTACATGTAGATTATGAGGTTCCAAAAAAATCTGGTAGTAAAGCTTGCATGCTGAGAAAAGATAGGGGAGTGTAGCAACAGAGTAAATGAAGAGTTCTTCAGCAGCCTGAAAAGGGAAAATGCACAGGGGAAATTTGGTGCAATTACTAAAACTGAGGGTAATAATAAGATACTATGATAAAGTTAAAAAAGGTGAGGTGCAAAATAAGAAGAACTGGCAAGGGATGTGACATATCACAATAAACCATTGTAAATATACTCATTGTAAAAGGAAGAGCAGAGAAAGGGTTGGTATACAAGTGATGCTAAGAAAACTGAAGTGTTCTATGTATTTTGGGTTTTTTTCAGAATAAGGAATTAAATCAAACCAACTCAGTTTTCTTTTTTCAGAATAGCAATTTTTGTGGCCATGGGGAAACAGTAGCTGTCATTCAAACTTGCCTTCACAGGAAATTCTCATGGAAAATATCTCATTTCTCACCTTTAAACTGGAAGTGTATATTGATGAGAATTTCACATAAATCCATCATGAATCTGTATTTTCATTTAAAAAGTTAAATGTTAAATTTGCAAATAGCAGCAAGATGCAGAAGACTGTAAGCACATTGAAGACTAAATTAAAATCAGAATGGTGTTGAAATACATATGAGAAAATAGGTAGTCAGGTAAGGGCAAATGGACTGCCCTAGACATTTGGGAAGACCAATCAACATAGGAATACTGGACAGAAATTAACTGTAGTCTGAGCAGTTTTATTAAGGATTATTTCTTTAAAGGGTTGTAGTAGATCAGAAGCTGAACATGTCATCAGTCAACAGTGCCGTGCTTTTAAAAACAATCATCATGCCATTGTGTAGCAGGAGGTGACTGTTTATACAGTATGAAATATAACTCCTCTTAGTCCAGATAATGCTTCAACAGTAGTAGGATCATACCTGGAGATCTGTTTTCAGTTGTGAATTATATAACTTTGTTTTTTTGCAAGGATAACTTTAAAAATGCTCTCCAGGCATATGGACATGTTCTGAATTTAAAACATCCTCCAGTGAGTGGATAAAAAGTAAAGTGTTTATAACAGAATAGAAAAGGTTGAATTCAGGTTTGCAGGATCAAAAATTCAGAGCATCTCTGTGTCTTCACAAATGTGTAAGGCTGAAACTGTTCCATTGCATCTGCTAAAGGCTTAGTTTTCATTCTTCCACTTTTGCAACAAAATACAAATCTGTGACCATTCAGGACAAAATTCTGGTGCAATTACAGCAGAAAATGTTGACCTGCCAGCTCTGTTATCACCATCAAGCTGTGGCTGTCTAACTTTAGAGCCCAAATTTGGATCCCACTGAGTTGCCAGAACCTCCTGAGAATGACTGAGGGCCCTTAAGTTAGGAACTTAACTAACTCTACTTCCTTTACTTGTTCATGGAACCTGTAGTCTCTTGACTTAGACAACAGTAAAACTTGGAAACTTTATTTTCAAAGATATCGTTCATTGTTATACAAACTGAATTTCTGACTAAATAAAGCAAAACACAAGGGGAGGTTCATAAGTATTCAGGAGTCTGTTAAGATCTACTGTGACAATTAGGACAATGGTCTTTGAATAGGGAACATTGAGATCCCTTTATTATTTCTCCAGTTTAGTCTGAAAAATTAGCACACAAACAACTTTTTAAAAAGTCTTCTTTTACTGTTTCTGGTCCTGTGTTATTTCAATAACTTTATAACTGGTGTGTTGCTGACGTTACTGTTTTGAGTTGATCTGCTCATCAAAGGAGTGCAGGCCACTCTGGCTTGATTGTCTATCACACAACCCATCTCATACTTTCTTTTTTAATACCCTGAGTGGAGGATATTGGTTATAGGCTGCTTGATTCTTGTGAAGAAAATTACTATTCTGTGAATAGTAAGATCTGATTTATCAGCTCAAGTGGCACAGTAATGGCAGTGAGATCCATACTGTACAGAATCCCAACATCCCCACGTAAGTCCGGTTGTGGAGTGCCAATATTATTTGAAACTAGCCACTTTTATCTGTGCCAGAGGGAATACTGAACCTCAGGCTGCTAGGAGTGTATTTTTTTAGATCAATTAGCAGCTTTTCAGGTGCAAAGTTCAATCAGCTTCTTCTGCAGAGCATACTTGATAAGATAGTACTGACAGATAAAGTTAAGGCTTCTCCCTGGCAGCTCCCAGTGAGGTGACACGTGCTGGCATTGATGTGGCTCACAGGAACTGGGGCTGGCATGCTGCATAACTAACCTGTCATATGCCGTGCTGGGAGCTAATGTGGCAACAGTCTGCAAACTATGTTGGAGCATTGGAAGCAAGTTAAAATACCAGGCAGCTACATGAGACGACATTTACCACCTGTCTGTTCCAACAGGAAAAGTGTCACTTCATCTAACAACCAGTGCTTAATTTGTAAAAAGTAATTCAATGGTAGGTAGGTAGGTAGGTAATGTTTGCTATGCACTGCTGGGTTTATCCTGCTTGGTAGGAACAGGAATTAAAAAGATAAAGTGCAAAGATAATGCACTGTATTTCAAAATAGGCTGCAAAACTTTATTCCACAGATGCAGCTTGCCTACCTCTGTCCAAAATTCTCTGTTATGTCTACACTGTTGAGAGATACATGACTTATTTAATTTTTGAAATCCAAATGCCATAATTGTAATGGTATCCGACGTGCATTCAAGTTTTTAATTCACATCTAATATTTTCAGCATTTATCATATATATGGCATATAATGTTTATGTTAAATAAATTGTCTACCAATTATAAATGTATAGCAGCAAGTTAGTACCAGTAGCTGGTTTGAAGTCAGTTTATCGTTGTCTGTATTAGCTAGGATACAGCTAAGTATGAAAAAATAATTATCAGAGATGAAGTTATTAAAGTTTTCTGTTTTTCAAATAGTGCATTGCGTTACTACTTATATGGAAACATTGTTCATTACTAATTAAAAACATAATTATTGGCATAATATTTCTTTTCAAAATCCTACTTTTAATTTTCTGTATATTTATAGAAAAACCTAAATTTAATTCATTTCAATGAGTGTTTTAAAACCAGTTGAAACAACTGCAAACTGAATGGGCATCTGACTGTCAAGGACTTAACCTTCATTAGGCTCTAGCTGCAAGTCAGTTATTGTTTTGGATCAGGCTAAGACACCTCATGCAATAAGTGTCCTTTGCTCATGAAAAAATGGATCTTATAGTTAAGGTTTTATTGTGTCGGTGTCAGATTTTTACGGAGGAATGTGTTTGAGTAAGATACATGCTCCTAAGATTTTGTCTTTGAAATTTTAATGATAATGACTATAATTGCAGGAAACGTGAAGAGGAAAGTAAGAGAAAAGAAGCCAAGCTACAGAAAGGGGTGCAGAACGTGGAACAAAACAAGTTTCGAGCACAACAGAGTCCTGCAAATCGAGAGAAGACTACCAGTGTCTCACAGTTACCCAGCAAACCTGCTGATACACAGAGTAAGAGACTTCTGTCCCTCAATGCTTCACAGATTCAACCAGGGAGAAACAGCAGAGGTTCACCTAAAGCTTGTCACAACAAAGGGACCCCAAAGGAGAGTTGCCAATCAGCAGAGCCTCTGAGTGAAGGTCATAAAATCAGGCAAGGTTTGTGATTTTTTTTTTAATTGTCCTGATTATCTGTTTTGTCCACATTTGGGGGTGTTTTATAGATGGGACCTGTCTTGGCTTTCTATTGTTTCTTATTCTTTCATTATTTAAGCAATTCATGCAGGATAGAGTTAGATATAGATTCTTTTACTCTGTGTGAAGTAGTCAAAAACAGCAGCACACACAGTATCTGTAAAAATACCTAAAATATGTGAGAACAGGTTGTTGGCAATTGGGAGGAAATAAGATTAAAGATATTTGACATATCTATGAGATACTTGAAGAATGTTAATGGAGAAATGGTAACTTATTTTTATAAGAGGTTAAAATGAGGCTAAAGTTGTTTTAAGTGACATTTCTAGTACACACAGGATGATATTCAGTCAACTTCATCCTCCATGACAGGGTTCTCCTATGATTTGTCTCTGAAGTCTTCCTGTTGAGACACTCAAGAATAGTTTCTGAGAACTGAGACTTTTTAGAAACTGTTAATGGAGAAATGGTAACTTATTTTTATAAGAGGTTAAAATGAGGCTAAAGTTGTTTTAAGTGACATTTCTAGTACACACAGGATGATATTCAGTCAACTTCATCCTCCATGACAGGGTTCTCCTATGATTTGTCTCTGAAGTCTTCCTGTTGAGACACTCAAGAATAGTTTCTGAGAACTGAGACTTTTTAGAAACTGTGCAACATTGTGTCTTTTTTTCTGTTACTTTTCTTGCCCTGCCTAACTATTTTTGCTATCTGTGAGTGCATCATCAGTTTATCATTTCTTGACCACTCCTTGTTAGTTTGAAGAGATTCACATTTTAATGACATTTCACTCAGTTCTGACTTCAGCCGGTTATAGGAGCCCATGGCTCAAATCTTTCCAAACTGGTAACGTTAAAGCATCTTTGTTATCATTAGAAGCAAAAGTTGGATAAGTATTTTATTCAGGTAAGTTGTGAGAACTTCCAGATGTAAAGTTACTGCTAATCCCTCTGAAAGTTCTGCTAATCAGAATATTATAATAATCCAATAGAAAAGAAAGTAAAAGAGCCTTTACTACTGAATCATGTTACCTAGGTTTCTTTAGCTTTTATATGGAAATGTCTTGGCAAACAGAAAACTGTATTGTCATAGTAAAAGCAAACATATATCTTAGCCCAGCATACACTGTGATAGCTAAGTAATGATAAAAAGAAGAGTTAAAATTTCTAGCAAGCTTATCTGCGTATGTATTAACTTTATGTTACTTAAAGTATTCAGATGGCAAAGTAAAACACATAAGAATCATCAGAAACAGTGGTTTCCAAATTAAAAAATGGATAGTTGTAATGAACATAATGAGGAGAAATTGGTAAGTATGGAAAAAAAAGAGAAAGGAGATGTGGAGAGGATTACAACAGTGAAGGGGTTGAGAAGAGAAGGAGAAGGCCAAAGAAACTATAAAACAGGAACAATCAGCCTTTTCTTTTACTAATTCCAGTATCCAATCTTAGCCAAAATTGGTTATGACAATGGAAACTGCATTGCCTTAGTCAGACTCACACTGTTTCTTGGAACAAATACAATGGTTTTACACTGAGACAGTAACCTAAGGAAGTAGGTAGTAGGCAGTCCATGGGAAACATGGGCTACTGAGTTAAACTAACTGCAGACATCAGGACTGAGTCTGCCACATTTTCTGCAGAGGATTCTAATACTGATACTTACACTTGAAAAAATGCATTTGTCTTTAGTTGTCTACACTACTACCATGAGCTAGGAAGCTCAAACTGGCAGCAAATGACAGCAGCATGCAGCTTGGACTTTTCATAGAATCATAGAATTTAGGCATTGGAATGGACCTTACGGATCATCTAGTTCCAGCCCCCCCTGCCATGGGCCGGGACACCTCCTCACTAGACCGGGTTGCTCAAGACCTTATCCAACCTGGCCTTGAACACTGCCAGAGTCAGGGCAGCTACCACTCCCCTGGGCAACCTGTTCCAATGTCTCACTACCCTTATAGTAAAAAACTTTTTCCTGATATCCAACCTAGCTTCCCCTCCTTCAGTTTGAACCGATTACTCCATGTCCTATCATTGCAGTTCCTAACAAAGTCTCTCTTCAGCTCCCTTGTAGGCCTCTCCAGATAAGGTCTCCATGCAACCTTCTCTTCTCCAGGCTGAACAGCCTGATTGAAAGCCTTTTGATTGAAGGCTTCCCTGAAGTTAGAGATTTCCTGAAGTAGCTATGCCAGAATAATTTTTCCATGTTGATGGTTCTACAAGTAAAATTTTAAAACCATGTAGGTTATTGCCTAGAGATCTTTTTGCTTTTCAATATATCTTTAAAAGCAGAATACAATTTCTGCAAAAGAATGAATTTTAAATTTAAATAAAAAAGTTCCCTGCCATTGTTGATTCTCTCTCTTTACCACGAGTGTTGAACCTGAAGAGAACACAACACTTTACTCAAGGTCCTTCTGAAAACACCTAACATGTAAAGTAAAATTTTAAAACCATGTAGGTTATTGCCTAGAGATCTTTTTGCTTTTCAATATATCTTTAAAAGCAGAATACAATTTCTGCAAAAGAATGAATTTTAAATTTAAATAAAAAAGTTCCCTGCCATTGTTGATTCTCTCTCTTTACCACGAGTGTTGAACCTGAAGAGAACACAACACTTTACTCAAGGTCCTTCTGAAAACACCTAACGTGTACTTCTTGCTATAGTGAGACACTTGTGTGTGCCAAACACAGGAGTGTTTAGAAGCAGTTCTCACAAAGCAGCAAGGGAGAAATGGGAAGGCTTTTGTAGTTTCATTCAGGATGTCAAGAGAAGCACTGAGAAGCCAAGCTCTTTGGGTTTCCTGGGTCAGCAGGTTAGTCTGTCACTGTGTGCCAGGATACAGGCTGGCTAGAGCAGGAGTTTAGCAAATAAACTTGAAACAGTGACAGTTAGTTATGGTGTGTTCACAGGGCTGCATTCCTGTGCCATATGGTGAGCTGGCTTCTTGGGAGAACACAGTATAATCAAAGTTGGTGAAATAGTTTATCCCTGTGAACTTACTATTTTTTTAATGCATCTAACTAACTCAAATGTCGTGTGAGAAAGAAACCACATGTGTACAGCAGTAAGCAAATGAAGAGGTTTGAGACTGTAC